CCGAAACCAATCTATTCATGTCCAATAGAGTTCCATTATGCCACCTCAACCCGTGACCTTCAGGTGATATAGTATGTCGCCCCTGACATACGAGAATTCCTATTAGATATATTCCCTCTGAAGTATTCTTTGGGTCAGGTCGAATCGAATTCCAATGGTCCCTGTTCGAACAGAGAAGATGATCAACTCCACGACTCCCTTTTTCCGTAGATAGAGCCGTGAATTGTCGTCTTGAATCTTCTCGGATCAGAGTTCGTGTCCTCCGATTGACCCCATGATAAATCTGCGATGTAATCAAATGATGATTTATAGACCAAAGTTCTATTCTCTTGAAGGATTTCGGGATCGGTACATTGGGTTTACTCAGATCTTCATTTCGCTGATTATCTTCTTCCGGCTTCTCCGTCCATCGTCACAGAAGAATTTAATCGTCAGCAACTTTGATTCGAACGAGTTGTCATAGTTGAATATTTTACTCGTCGATTTCTCCATTGCACTCTCTTTTCGATGCTCTCCGTCAACTCGAGCGTCGAGGAATACATGCGTCAGCGTCCTTGGCGCAGTGCATCGCCCGAAGTTTGCTCGCTGATGGTGTAATTCGATGGTCGCATCAAACCATTTCTTCACTTGAGATTTTATTCCAATTATTTCCACCACAGTATCAGTGCCACAAATTACCTCTTTAGGTTTCATTGTCTTCCGATACCAAACGATAATATTCCTTCGTTTTTGGTGTAAATTGACAGGAGTTTGGGGGTTCTTCAACCCTAAAAATCTCATGACTCCTTTTGTGAAGATCATTGACATTGAATTCTCCATTACCCTTGGAGCTGAATAATTTCCCATCTTCTTCCAGTAATCGGTTGCTGCTGGTTGATCTGCAGACAACTGACTTTCGTTTAGGTAATTTCCCCAAGTTTCGAGAATTTCATCCCGGAAATCCGATAACAACTTGTTGCTCATACGAGCCTTCTGTTTGTGTCTGGGATGCGCAGCATAATTTCCCTTGAGAAGACTTTCCTACGTCACTGATGACCTCCGAATATCCATAATTTTGGATGAAAGATTCTCAGTATCAACTCGGAGTAATGCGCATGAATTATTCGTCAGGAAATTACAATTC